CCTCCTAAAATACGATGCAATATATTATTAACCCTGTAATTGTCAAGCTTGAAAGCAACCAAGAGTTCTTTGAGTAGTTGAGGAGAAACAGTGGCGTATCAGACTGCAAAACACAGGGGCCTATCGATACTGCAAAAACACCTGTCGACCTAGAATTCTAAATCCAGGAAAAATATCCTTCAAAAAACAAAATGAAATCATTGTGAGCCCCTTCCCGTCTGCTTACTTTACCTTTCCCTTTTCCACATCTCCCTCTTGCTCACTTTCTGTGGTTTTGTGTGTGCAAGTAGGTACATGGGTATGTAACTTTCTGCATCCGTCCACCAGCAACATCCACCTTGATATGCTCTTAGTCATTCCCCAGAAAAATGGATGGTTGTTGAGTTTTCATTTGGTAACTGAAGGAGACCACTTGTTTTTCTCTAAACTATGGGAGAGTATGTTCCAAAGGCAAATCCAGTCTCTCTTTAAGATGCTGGCAAATGTATTCTAAGTTTTTAACTGGAAGTGTTCTTAGATCAAAAGCAAGTTCTTTTCTGAACTGGCCCTTGGTTTGCTTGCCCTGTTTCTTAGTTCTGCTTTATCTTCCTTAACATGGTTTCTCTCTATCATTGCACTGTCTCTGTCCATCTTTCTGCCCAATTGTTAGAACATCTTGTTCTAGCATCTGGCTTCATGCTACCATGTTTTTGTCTTCCTTCAATTCATAGATTCACAAGTACTTATATTATTTGTGTAGATCGTTAATTTCTCAAGACTTTTAAATTATAAGGAAGGAATGCATTTGATAAGCTGGGAAGCAAGGGCACCGCAGACATTTCTTCCTGCCCCTCTGGAATCAGGTAAGTCACATTTCAGTAGATATTTGTTTGGTTTCCTTGATCCTTCAGTTACTTGTGGTAAGTGCCTTTATTTTATAATACCAAGGATAAAACATCATTCTTCAAAGGATTTGAGTTAGCATAAGAATGAATCAGTCTAAATGTGTGTGTATGTGTACATACAGTTTTATTTCTTTCTCAAGTTTTATTTGTTTTATTTATTTCTCACGTTTTATTTATTTATGCTATTTCCCCTTCAATAATGCCCTTTTTTGAAGCAGGAAATTTCTTGGCTTATTGAACTTTGATTTTACATTATTTTTTCCTACTTTGATAAGGACTATTAACTTCTGGAATAGGAGTTCTGAGCCACCATCTCACAGACTCACTCCCAAAGCCTCGCTTCATTTTTCTCTCCTCTCTTTGCTCCTAGGGCTTCAGTTTGCCAACAGAATGGAATGTGTAATGTTCTTTTTGTGTTGGAAACAAGAAACTAGAGGCGACTTGCAACACTTGATTCAAATTAGCCAAGAACCTGTGAAGACAAAAACCCTCAAGGACCACATTTTCACTATGAATTTTTATGTTAGACATATCTGGATTAAGTATCAACTGCCAGTTGTAAGTAACATCTCTGCTTATGTATATTAGATTATACTCAACCTACATTTAATTGAATACAGTTGCATAGATTATGTAGCTAATAGGAAGAAAGAATAATGCATGCCTCTATTTTTTATCATGTATGGATTTCTCTGCCTTATTTATTTGTGAACTTTCTGGATAGTGCCTTGCATAATGTCTGGAAAATAGTAAATGCTAAATAAATGTATGTTGAATGACAATGAACAGGCCATAGGAATTTGAGCAAAGGGATTTTTCAGAACTTGTGTATGGGATTTCCACCTACATTTTTCAGTTTGTTAAGTTTAAATGTCAGTTTGTCATTTAAAAGTGACATTCTATGCCTGACTTTCCTTATTTCCTATGTTGGCTTATATATAAATTCTTATTCTTTTCAAGCATTGATTGCATTTTCCCCTTGCCTTTGCTTTAAAATAATGCTTTATGATTTTTCAGCAATTCTAGGAGTAGAAGCCCATTCAATTCCAGGAACAATATGCGTCTAATGGCAACACTATTTACAGGTCCTTTTCTGCCACAGTGACTTAGGTGAATTGTAGGAAAACTGAAGTAGAGTGATTCACATGAAGTCTTTTCTATGGAATTTGTTAACTGTATATGCATAGATGAAGACAGTTCCATTTTTAGCAAACTTCAGTGACTCAGTATATATAACAATCTGAATGGCAAAAACAAACATAAAACCCTGCTTTCTCTTGCATCCACATTTTCTTAGTTCTCATAGCTCAACACTTAAGAAGCTAGACTGTCAATGTAAATCATTCAGTCATTTACTTATCTACTCATTCAGGACTGGAAATAGAAAGGATGAGTGAGACAAGAGTTCTTGCTTTTTTTTTTTTAAGATTTATTTATTTATGCATACAAGAACTGGGGTACAGGCCAGAGGTGTGGGGGGTGAGAGGATTCACCAGAGACAGAGTGGGGAACAGAACAGGCAGAATGACCGAAATCCACTGCTGAGGGGAGCAGCGGGTGAGTCAGTAGAGGCCGCTGCGCCATATGGGTAACTCCCTGGCTGGGGATCGAACTTGTACTGCAGTGGCTGTAGATAGCTTCATAGACTGTGTCTTAACCCCCTGCGTCACCAGGCCCAAGAGTTCTTGTTCTTGAAGCATTTTATAATTAGTTCTTGTATTTCAAAATTAATTTTAATTATTTCATTTAATAATAAGTCTTCTATAACTGCATTTTAATTACAAAATGTTAAAGTCCTTTCCATTGGCAAATAATAGCGCATCCATGAGATATTTGATTGGAGTAACTCCAGAATAAAATTATTCTAATGAGGTATACCTTTGAATTCCACATTTGAGAACCTGCAGGTTATCTCCCAGACTTCCAGTTTCATCATAAAGGACACCCTGCTGGCCTGTCCTTCTGAAAACAATAAAAAATACTTGGTGAAATATTTCAGACTCGTCTTTTCAAGTGCATCAATGATTTGTTTAGTAGGAAGATAATCAATAACGATAAAGACCAACTAAAGTTTGCATGTAGAGGGTAAATATTATAGACCTTGACTTTTGTTTTTATGATATGAAGGGACCTGACACTTGCCCAAGATGGGAATCTGGCTATTTGGATCAAAATCCCTTTCTAGGAGATAACAAAATTAAATGTTGCTTTTTTAGACACAATGGTTTTGAGCAGTTAATGGTGATAACGTTTGAAGCAATACACCTGCCAAAGCTGATAAATGGTTAAGAATTTATAGTACCTTCCAAAAGCCTGACTGGAAATGGTTCCCCGAATACACAAAGGAAATAAACTGGCAACATTTTATAGACTTTTCTAACTAAAATCAGGGCACAGACTTCATCCATAATTAACATGACTGCAGTGAGCTTTCTAGAACATACAAATTTTAAACTTTCATCTCTCATAGAATCACTCAGTGAACCTTTTCACTGGCCATAGTTTGCAAAATTTTCAGGTAAAATAAACTCAGCACTTCTTTTGTTGGTATTTGCTTTTTCTTTAACATAAGTGACCTCACACATAGAGCTGGGGTGTTGGAAAGCAAAGCTAATAAACAAGTAAACTAGAAATCAATGTGTATGCAAACCCCTTTCCAAATTAAGATGGGAAAGATTGCCTGTCTCAAACATAACTGCTGCATGGGTGTAGGGTAAGGAAAAATGTCAGGCTTTTCTGCCCTCCTGCCATCAGGATAGATGATGTATTCTTGAGGTCCTGAATGCATGCCTGATGGCAGGCACCTGGAGTAGGGTGTGGGCATAAGTAGATGGGATTCACCTGGGCTAAGACTGTTTTTAAGGGCGGCGTCACGGGGACGCTAGCAGCAGCAGAAGCCGAGAGAGAAGCCAAAAGAGAAGAAGCCCGAAGCAGAAGCAGAGAACGTCAGAGAGCCCAGATAGAGTGAAGACTTGCTGGGGGCTGGGAGGCTAGCAGGCCTGCTAGCCTATGGCCAGCACCCCTGCCTGCCATATGCCTGGTGAACCCCAATAAAACACCTGCAAAAAACCACTGAGGACTCTGACTCCTCCTTTACCCGGTCTGCATGGGATCAGAGAACCTGCCCTGTGTCCAGTCCTGCCCCTTACAATGGGGTTACAACAGTCTTCCCTGAGAATTTATAAGCACACATTGGCCTCCCCGTGAGCACATTGCTTGGTTAGTCTACCTGTCCGCAAGGTATACATTAAAGTGGTTCCAGTTTGGTCTGGTTGTAGGTATTTAGCAGAAGCAAACACAAATCCTCTGTAGTAGAATAGTGTCCTCAAATAATTTCCATGGATAAAGTTACAAAGAGCATAAGCTAATACAACCTCTTCAGAAAATGCAATAAATTAAAAAACAAAACAAAACAGGATACCCAAGGATTATGACATCATGAGATTCAGAAACAAATTAGACAGCAGAAGACACAAAAAGATTCTCATATATATTTAAAACTAGAATATAAGTATGATCCATATATTTAAAGAAATAAAAGAGAGGATTGACAATATGAACAAGGAGAAAAGATTACAGAAATGACAAGCAAATTGAAAAAAAAATCTAGAAATAACCATAGATTATATTTAAGAACTCAATGAATAGGCTTCAGAGTAATTTAGATTATTCAGCAAAGGAATTATTCAGACAGCAGTAGGCATGTAAAACTCAACTGAAAATATAAACTAGAAACTGAGAGACAGGACAGAGTTGTAACTTTAGGTGGCTTCAGGGGACAGTCCTAATCTTTTTTAGTCCTGATCTCTCTTTAAGTCTAATTGGCTCAACCTTTCCCGTGTCAGTTGCCCTCTGGATGTAATTGGCTACTTCAAGTTCTCACTCTTTCCCATCAGGTCAGGGGCATGGCACCAAATCTTTCCCCTGGCAATCTTTGCCTTAATTCATATTTTAACCTTACGAAAAATGTTATTTATCTCTCACTTTTACTTGTACTTATTTCAGAAGTGGGCAGGAGGGCAGGAAAATGTGTTTTCATTTGCTCTGTTAATTCTAACAACTCTGAACAAACCCTACTTTTTCCTGCAGACTGCTGAACGGGTGATGCTGACGACCTGATCATGTTTGTCTAGAACAGCTGTCAAGGTAAGTGCTCATTGGCCCTCCTCCATTCCTCCTTTTCCTTCCCCGTTTGGATTCTAGCACTAAAGAGACCTATATCCTTTGTACTTAAACAAGCTCCACAATGAAAGCATTCCTCCATTTCTTTTATTTTAAAAAATGTTTCTCCTGTTGCACCTATAATGCATGTTTAGCCTAGAAATCTTAGAATATAAATATGCTCCAAAGGGCAATTCAAATCAACTGCAGCCCTGCCTCCCAGAGACAGGTACAACCCACATATTGGTGTTTATTATTCCAGTTTTTTCTCTAAGTACATATATGCCAATAATATACTTCTTTATTTTTCACAAATATCTTTTTATAGTTTGTCTTTTTTCCTTGTATATTTTATGATTATCTTTTATATTATAACTTTCTTCTACCAATCACTTTTAATAGCCGTAGTCTATTTCATTAAAAGTAAGTGTAATAGAATCTAGATCCCCTAAGTATCTACTGTCCTCAGACATGCCAATGATGTCTTTATGCAAACACCTGCTATCCCTGATTTCTTAGATGGCAAGACTGTACCTGACCTTGTGGGTCAGGCAGGAAAAGGAATGCCCTGGGAACAAACTTCAGTCCATGATGGAAGAGGAGCTGGTTGGTAAGCATCTCAGATTGCCCCACTTCTGTTGGGGCAACTCTGAGGTAGGGTCTACCCATTTCCCAGAGCAGTCACCTGCTCATGGATGCGTCGTGGGTTGACTGTCTCCATCCTCAGTCTCACCTCCTAGTACTTGCTGAATAAACCCAGATAAACTACCCATCCTGGTGTGACTGGGGGAATCCAAACCCAGACAGCATTTAAGTAGTCCCCCATGATTATTGACTATTTTCCTTAAAAACAGTATTTTTGCCATTTATTTAGTGGCCTTGACATTTGGAGTTTAAGTCTGAAAATACCAATTCTAGCATCCCTACTGAGTTTTAGTTGGGTGTCAGTAGGAAATCCTAAAATCAATATAAAAAGCAAAATCCACATGGTTCCTGTTCACTTTTGCACTATTGCATCCCAGGTCCTGTGTAGAAAGAAGGCCACACATGGGGCCCCTGGCCTTGGAGCTGGAAGACCTCACCTACTAATAAGCAGCTGACCTTGGCAAGCACTGCGCCTTTTAGTTCCAATCTAATCATTTGTAAAACAAGCCATTGAAACTTTACAAAATGATCTCTAAGGCCCCTGAAACTTCAAGTTTATGAAGCAAAGCAAATGTTTCTCAAAGAGTGGTCTGGAGGAAAATCAGCTTCATTAAAACTATCCAGAGAGCTTGTTAAAAATACAAATGCAATTGCTGGGCCTCATCCTGGATTTAATGAATCTGAGTTTCCTGGGTTAGGGTCCCAGTGTCTGTATTTTTATTAAGTATGGGGAAAGAATATTTCAAGTCCTATATTTTTTACTCAATTTTGACTATAAAATGTAATTGGAACCAACCTTAATGAACCATTTAATCAGGAAACTTGTAAGCAGTGTGAATATTCTTAACAATGTTCTTTGGAAGGCAAAACCATGACTAGCTGTTGTCTCATTAGGTGGATGTGGAAAATACTAATGAATTTTTACATTGCCATTACTATAAAAGTATACTTAATATTGTGTCATTATAAATATTTTTGGTTTAAAATCTTTTACCTAAAAGGACTAATAGTCTTATTTAATAATGAAAGATTAGTTTTAATGGGTTCATGGGCTATTGGTTTATCATCTTTGGAAAAATATAACTCACACGAACTGAAGATTCACTCCATAAGGGGAAAAACCCTCCATTTGCCAAAATCAAAACAAACAAAATAACCCTCTCCCCCAAAACCCATTGGTCTGTCCTTACTGCCTCCTGCCTCCAAGTGAATCGTTGACCTTTCTTCTTAATTGCATTCCACAGACAATTACTATTTTCTCACAGATCGAGTTGACAAATGTTTGCATCTATCTCTCAGACAGTGGGGTTGCTAGTCCTCAAACTCTGCCTCTTACCATTCTATCTGTCATTCTGTGCTGGCTAAATGGACCTCATTTCTGGTCCTTGAATATGCCATGCTTATTCCTACCTGAGGGACTGCATTTGCTGTTCTGTTAGCCTGGAATGATCTCTTTCCAGATTGTTGTTTGGCTGACTCTGCTTTCTCCTTGAATTCTGAATTCTATTAGCTGTCAGCCAGTCACTCTGTCTCCCATCATCTTTCTTAATCATCTCATAGTGTTTGCGAGGGTGAAATTGTTCTCTATTATTTGCTTGCTTATTTTCTATCTCCCTTAAATAAAATGTGACCTTTTATATTTTCTATCTCCCTTGAATAAAATGTGACATTCATAAGAGTTGTGATTTTCCAAAACTACCATGAGATACCATCTCACACCAGTGAGAATGGCACATATTAAAAAAAACTAGCAACAACAAATGTTGGCGAGGTTGTGGAGAAAAAGGAACTCTCCTGCACTGCTGGTGGGAGTGCAAACTGGTCCAACCACTATGGAGAGCTGTGTGGAGATTTCTTGACCTACTAAACATAGAGCTTCCATATAATCCAGCAATTCCACTCCTAGGTATTTACCCAAAGGACACAGAAACATCAATTCCAAAGAGCACCTGCACCCCTATGTTTATAGCAGCACTATTTACAATAGCTAAGCTTTGGAAACAGCCCAAATGCCCAAAAATAGATGACTGGATCAAGAAGATGTGGTACATACACACCATGGAATATTACTCAGCATTCAAAAAAGATAAACACATACAGTTTGCAGCAACATGGATGGGCTGGAAGGGATCATGCTCAGCGAAATAAGCCAGAAAGAAAAAGAGAAATACCGGATGGTCTCACTCATAGCAGGAATCTAGAAAACTTAAATAAAGGACCAGGAAAAAGAATAACTATAAGAAAGTAAAAGTCAAAATCAACAAACAATTATGAACCAGAGACCCTCAATAGGAGGTGGGGGGCGGGGAGGGGAAGGATTGGGGTCAAAATAAGGGGGTCGCAATTGTATGGGGAATATAAAAATAAAATTTATAATTAAAAAAATATGTGAGTTGTGATTTTCCCTGCTAGTCTCCACCATACCCTGGCATTAAGAACAGCATAGACAAAGGACACAGAAACATTAATTCAAAAGGGCATCTGCACCCCTATGATTATAACAGCGCTATTTACAATAGATAAGCTGTGGAAACAACCCAAATGCCCAAAAATAGATGACTGGATCAAGAAGATGTGGTGCATATACACCATGGAATATTACTCAGCAATCAAAAAAGATAAACTCTTGCAATTTGCAGCAACATGGATGGCGCTGGAAGGGATCATTATCAGTGAAATAAGCCAGAAAGAATAAGAAAACTACCGGATGGTCTCACTCATAGCAGGAATCTAGAAAACTTAAATAAGATAAGAGACCAGGGAAAAGACTAATTATAATAAAGTAAAAATCAAAATCAACAAGCAAGTATAAACCAGAGACATACTACGGGGGCGGGGGGAGGGAGTAGTATCAAAACAAGGGGCGGGGGTGGGAATTGTATGGGGCCTATAACCAAGGTGAAAATGCATACATTGTGCAAAAGTGAAAAATGATGTAAAAAATATATAAAATAAAAAAAAAAGAATACGGTAGATCACTTATTGGGTTCTCAATGAATATTTATAGAATGATCTCTCTCAGCATATTAAAACTAGGAAGAATATATTGGTTTTGGGATAGTAAATATAATGATGTAAATAAAGAATTTCACCATTATTGCATGGTATTCCTAAACCAAACATGCGATTTAATTTTATTTTTACATAGTCTCATCACATGAGAAATATTTTTAAAGTATGGTAAGAGAGAATGTGGGAAGAAGAAAATGATATTTTAAATACATATTTTCCCTTTCTGTACTTTTTGTAATTGAACTCTTAGGCAATCATTATCTGATTCATCTCTAAAATAGATGATTAATATGGAAAATATTCTTATAGATTTTTTTCTAACAAAGCAGTAATTTACAGATTCACTGTTATTTACCTTTCCTTTCTTTTCAAAGAGCTCCTACACAATGCCTACACAAATCTAATGGTGTTGGAAGCATTAGATTAAAACATACTTTTAAGATTATTCTTGATCTAAGGAACAGAACAGGCAATATAATAATATTTCATGTACTACATTGTACTAAGTTTCTCTAAACCAGTGCTACATTTACCAGACAGGCCACCTTTACATCAATCAGAACATAAATTCAGTGGCTAGATATTTGCCAACAATTTAAGAAATTGTCCAAGTCCTACCCAAATTGTGCAAGTGCTGTTTTGGTTTACATTTTGTGATTCTATTTCTGTAATATTATGAAATGTTCTCTGTAGAGTAAATGAAGTTGGTCAGGCTTTTACGCCATTGGCCTCTGTGGCAATCACCTGCGGCCTTGATCTTGCAAAAGCGGAGGGTGCGTGGGTATGGGGCACATGGGCCTGACTATGGACACCTGAACACAGGTGTGTGTGTGCATGTGCAAGTGTGCACAGCTGAGCCTAGACTCCAGGGCTATAAGAGCAGCTTTACTCAGAGACCACAGAGCGGCTCCGATTGTGCCTACGAGAGGAGGAGGCCATGAGACGACATTGGAGAGAGCCCAGAAAAAAGAGCTAAAGAGATTCGCAGGGGGCCAAGTTGCTGTCTCCCTGCTGGCTTGTTTCCCTGCTTGACATTAAAACCTGTGAAGATGATGCTGAGGGCTCCAAAATTCTCTTTCAAATTGCTGGAAGCGAGGGTGAACCTACGGGCCCGGGATGATTGCAAAACATTCTCCTACTTAGATTCAGGTTGTGGGGTGGACTCTCTTTACAGCAGTGACTTTCTGTAGGGAAGTTGTGAGGCAGAGAAGGGAATCAGAGATAAAAATCAGCCTTCATCTTGAACTGAGAGTAAGTGTGTGCAGCGATAATGCTACCCCAAGGGATGATGGCTCACCCCATAACAGGGGCGTGGAAAGATCCCATGAGGTTGTTTCTGGCTGGGAGAAGGAAGACTAACAAAATTAACCCTTTGGGCAACTTGTTCTTACAGAGCAGAAGGGAGGGAAATGCCAGTGAGAAATCCTTTAGCCTGAGGTGTTTGAAAGGAAGGTGGGCTGTTAGGAGGTGAGGACTGAAGCTAGATTGGGAGGCTGATGGTTGGGGGTGAGGGAGACTGGAGGATCACAGAGAAGAGTCTCGATTTTGGTAGTTTGAAAGGAACTGCTGAGGTGAGCAGCATGGTCAAAATCATGATAATGGCAGCTGGGTGGGAGGAGAAAAGAAACTCGGATGTGCCGTATGTTGATATTGTGATGGCACTGATGGGTAGAAAGGTGGGATGAGATGGAGGGGCTTGATTTATCAATTAAGAGCAATGCTTGTTTATGAAGACACGATAATCAGATGTAGGAGAGCAAGCGCAGATAAGAACCCAACAGTGGAGAGCCCCTACTGAGTAAAAACTAACAGGTGGTGCTGATGCCATGTCTCAAAGAAGTGGCATCAATATAGGCACAGAAGTTGAGGCAATTTGAGAGTGTGCACTCTATGCCTGTGGTTCTGGAATCTTCTCCTGAGTTTACTGAGAGCCACCAGGGATTCTGTTGCTGA